TTTCTTCTCTAATTTTTAGTGCTTAAGAACATTTTTTCATAGGGCTATTATTGATAGCCTGGATTTCTTCCTTTGAGCATTTATCAATTGAGAATTGGTTCTTATAAATTTTAATCCATTCTCATTATATCTTAGAAATGAGACTTTTACCAGAGAAACTTGTTGCAAAGATTTTTTTTGCCTGTAACTTTTTTAATTATTAATTTATTTTGATGTATCAACAATCACTTCCATAAGCTTTTGAGTTTAAAATTTTTCTCCTCCTTTCTTCCCTCCTCCCTCCCCGAGACGGGGTGTAATCTGATACGGAATATACATATAAATTCCTATTAAACATATTTTCACATTAGTGATGTGTAAGGAAGGATTAGAACCAATAGAAGGAACCACCAGAAAGAGGAAACAAAACAAAACATGAAAAAAATAGCAAATAGCACGCTTCTATTTGCATTCAAATTCCATAGTTATTTCTTTGGATATGGATAACATTTTCCATCATGAGACCTTTGGAGATGTCTTAGATCCTGGCACTGCTGAGAAGGGCTACATCTATCAATGTTAGTCGTATCATGTGGCTGTTACTATGTACAACGTTCTTCTGGTTCTGCTCACTTCACTCAGCATCAGACTATACATGTCTTGCCAGGTTTTTCTGAAGTCTGGCTGCTCATCATTTCTTATAGCATAATAGTATTCCATTACATTCATATACCACAGCTTGTTCAACCCAATCGATGGGCATCCTCTCAATTTCCACTTCTTGGCCACCACAAAAAGAGCTGCTATAAATATTTTTGTACATGTGGGTCCTTTTCCATTTTTTATGATCTCTTTGGGATACAGACCTAGAAGTGGTATTGCTGGGTCAAAGGGTATGCATAGTTTTATAGCTCTTTGAGTATAGTTCTAAATTGCTCTCCAGAATGGTTGGATCATTTCACAACTCCACCAACAATGCGTTAGTGTTCCAATTTTCCCATATCTTCTCCAACATTTATCATTTTCCTGTTTTGCATGTTGGCCAATTTGATAGGTGTGATGTGGTACCTCAGAGTTGTTTTGATTTGCATTTTTCTAATTGATAGTGATTTAAAGCATTTTTTCATATGACTATAGATGGCTTTCATTTCTTCATCTGAGAACTGCCTGTTCATATCCTTTGACCATTTATCAATTGGGGAATGACTTGTATTCTTATAAATTTTACTTAATTCTCTATATGTTTTAGAAATGAGGCCCTTATCAGAGACATTTGTAAAAATTCTTTCCCAGTTTTCTACTTCCCTCCTAATCTTGGGTTCATTGGCTTTGTTTGTGCAAAAACTTTTCAAGGTTTAATGTAATCAAAATTATCCATTTTGCATTTCATAATATCCTCTATCTCCTTTTTTGGTCATGAATTCTTCTATTCTCTATAGATCTGACAGGTAAACTATTCCTTGCTCTCCTAGTTTGCTTATAGTATCAGCCTTTATATCTAAACCCTGAACCCATTTTGATTTTATTTTGGTATATGGCCTGAGATTTTGGTCTATGCTGTAACTTTTTAATGTATTGATTGGTTTTGCTATCCCCCCCCACCTCTTTTCTATTTCTTGAAAAATTATTTGTTATAAAGGATGATAATTCTTTGTTAAAAGGAATGTAGGGAGAAATCCAGGTACAATTTAAAACATAAGATAGTAATTCTTTGTTATAAGGAATATTGGAGAAAATCTAGGCAATGTAAAAACAAAGGATTAATACAAATCTATTTAGAAACAAAAGAATATCAGTAACCTTAAAGAAAGCAGTTTCAGTTGAGTGATAATGATCAAAAGCCAGACTTCAGGCAAGAAATATAAAGTTTTTCCTGGGTGGTTTGGCTATAAAAGGGAGGAGAGATACAGGACAAAATCTTTAGAGGATTAGAAGATCAAATGAAGTTTTTTTGTTTTATTTTATTTTGAATGGGGAAACTGTGGATATGTTGCAGTTTGGGGTCCTGGGAACCCTGAAATAGAAGTGTACAGGGGGCTCTGCCCCCAAAGAATTCGACCACTCAAGCCTTCTTTCAGTCAAAGTAGCAATGTTTTATTTGCCTAACACCAGTAAGGCTGGCAAGATTCCTAGTAAATCTGCCATTGTGCCACCAATAGGAGCAGGTGAGGTTCTTAGGGAATCTGTGCATTTGATGAAGATGGAACTGATACTTGTATACAAAAAAGACTGTGAGAAGATCTAGATGGAATTAAGGAGTGTAAATAGCCTGAGGTGGTGGTGGTGGTGGTGGTGGAGCCACAGAGAAAGGGTCAAAATGGGATTAAGGAGTGGCAAATAGCCTTCCGTGGGCCAGGTACAGAGGACTAAAGGAGTTAAGTGGTCAGAGAGCCACAGTGAAAGGGCAGTTAGTTTAAAAGTATCTAGGTAGACTGGGATGGGACAGATGCCTCATGAGAAAGGCCAGTGTGGAAAAGTTCAAGGGCTTTTAAGGTCTAGATCCCATTGCCCCATCAGATACATTTGTCAAGCAGTGGGAAAGGAGGCATAAGGGAGATTGAAAATTAGAAAGCCAAGATGGCAGTGTACAGGCTGGGACTCTGCTGAACTCTCCCAACATTCTCCTGCAAACAACTTTAAAATAACCCCTTAAATAAAATTTTGGAGTGGCAGAGCCAACAAAATGTAAAGCACTTAGCAGAATACCTGGCACATAGTAGATGTTTATTCTCTTCCTCTGAGTGGTCAACTGAAATTATTATACTAATTTTGGTAATTTCTATTTCCTTAATGCACATTATTTTGTTAGATTATAGCTGTTTGTGATGATCCCTGTTGTTGTTTTCAACTGTGTCTGACTTTTCTGTGTCTGACACTACTTAAGAGTTTTCTTGGCAAAGATACTATAGTGGTTTGCCATTTCCTTCTCCAGCTTGTTTTACAGGAGAGGAAACTGAGGCAAACAAGGTTATTCTGTCACAGATCCTTAACTTTTTTGATTGCCAATTATCTTTTTAAAAAAATTTTAAATTTTGCTAATTTGTAAGATCTCCCACTTTTAAGTAAAATCAAGTTTGTCAATGGTTTCTCAATTTTACTGATTTTTTTAAAATTAGCTCTTTGGTTTCATTTGTTTTTTGTTTTCTACTCTTACTGCTGCCCTTCTTATACTTCTCTGTTTTTATTTTGTTTTTTTATTTCTCTGATTCCTTTTAGTGCAAACTTAATTAATTTCTTACCTTTTCTTTCTTAGACATTCAGTGACATAAGTTTGCCTATAAGAACTTCTTTGTCTCTCTTACATATTTTAACAGGTTTTTAAAACCCTCTCCAATTTTATTTTTTTTAAATTTCTTCTTTAATCTAACAATTTTTATTTTTTCAGTTTCCAAATAGTTTTATAACTTTCACCCTTGATGTTATTTAATTCTAATTTTATTCAATTGTGGTCTGAAACACAGCATTTATCATTTCTGCCTTTTCATATTTATGTAGGACTTCTAAGTGACCTACCAGGTGATCAGTGTGTGTGGGGGGTATTTCATATCTTATTGAAAAGACTTTATGAGTTACCCAGCTTCTCTGATTTAGTTCTATAAATTGTTGTACTTTAATCTGTATCTTCTTGTATTACTGTTAATCTTATTATTAACTAAATTGTTCAAAGATATATAAAATGAAAATTGCTTTGTTACATAATTGTTATTTTCCCCTCCATAATTATGGAATTACCCCTTTCAATATGTTCTAATTTCAATTCTCTATCAGATAATATTTATTGACATTCTTGTTTTTCCTTTTAACTTGCAACTTGCATGATATATTTTAGAACAGCCTTTTAATGTTAATCAAGCCATATGTAGATGAGGAAAAAGGGAGAGGGTGCTGTTGCTGAGAAAACTGAGGCTATTACCTCTTCTCTATGCACTCCTTTTTCTCCAGGCTCTGATAACGAGGTGGGCAACTCCAACAGATGTGCCCTTGATCCCTCTCCAGCAGACTGTTCTTGTGCTGGTTAACTGACTGATGGGGCAAATCCTTAAATGCTATGTGTAGGGTTGGGAGAGGGAAGAAGTGGAGGAGGTTCTCACAGAGGGGTCTGTGTTGACTAATGTTAGAAATAGACTTGACACCAAAAATTTAGTATCAAGAAAATTTATTATGAAGTCCAGAGGATTTAGACGTTTCTGGCCAGAAGCGGGCTCCACCCCTCTTCAGGAGTGCAAGGGAAAGTGTGCTTTTATGCAGTTGAATTCGTTGCGAAACCTCCCAGGCCGGGATTGGTCCAACCCTTCCCAGGTTACACCTTTCCTGACATGTTTCCTCTTGATATGCTCAAGTATGTTCCCCCTCATTTGGTCATACGTCCCATGACTCGTTAATGAGGTTCTAATTTTATGCGGGGTGTGTCAGATAATAGTAATGAAGTTCATTGAGCATGCGCACTAGCACTTTTCAGGTGTCCTCAGGTTGACCCTAACTGGTCTGAGCTGGCTCGACCCTTATCTTGATTTTGGGGTCTTCTTGGAACAATCCACTTACTTCCCATTGGTCAAGCCCAGCCCACCTACAGGGTACCACCTCCTGGGACCTTTGTTCTTTAAATCTCTGCATTATTCTACCCGTGGAAACTTAAGCCCTTCTAATGCTAACAACTAATAAACTCTCCTACTTTGTCCACAATAGTGTGCATCTCTCCTTTCAGTTCGCTATAACTTCCTCTTAATGAGGGAAGTGTGAGAAATGGAAAAGGGTTGGACCGGAGAGTGTAGGTTAAATTGAGGGCACAGAGCAGAATGACACAGGCTGGAGCAAGGAATGACGTCAGCAGCCTTCAGAACTAGGGAGGGTCCTTGGGCCTTGGTAAAATTAACGAGCGGCTTTCATCTCCACAGCACCGGGCTTGGCGCGCTAGCGGAGGGAGGCCCGGGGACCACTCGCCTTCCTCTCTCACTTGAGGGGGCACCCACCCACCACAGGCCCCTCCCAGCTAGTAAAAACACTCCCCTGGTCCTTCATTCAAATGCTTCCCCCGGAAACAGCTTCCCTCCGCACCACTCACCGCGTTCCGCTCCCTTCTTCTGTAAATTGGTCTCTTACGAGAAAGGATCTATTGCTTTCAGTCCTGCAAGCTTCCCAACCGCCTGCGCATGCAGAGCTCGGCTTTCTGGTCTGTCATCCTAAGAGAAAGGACTTCCGGCACTGAAGATCGGAATAGGCTTGGGGGTGGTTGACGTTTGGTTGAAGATGGAAGAGCTGGAAGGCTACTATTTCTCGGCAGCCCTAAGCTGCACTTTTCTGGTCTCTTGCTTGCTGTTCTCCCTCATAAACCGGGCTCTGCGCGAGCCCTACATGGACGAGATTTTCCATTTGCCGCAGGCTCAGCGCTTCTGTTGGGGTTCCTTCCAGGTGAGGGTCTTCCACCCGGTCCTTAGCACTAGTCTTACCTGCCCAAGAGGGGCCTTCAAGGTCTGGGGCATAATCTTCATCTTCCCGCAATTTTAAAGGAGAATCGTTTGCACTCCCTTTTTCCCCAGAAATAATGGCCCTGCATCAAAACCTCATTATAAGGTTTCTCCAGGTGCATTTAAGGTAAAAATGAAGTAGCAACCCTTTAGTATAAGCTACTGAGGTTACTAGTTACTCCTGTTTCTCTTAATGATCTAACCCATCCGCTGAGTGTGGGTTACTAAATGTTTGCTTAAGAGGCACATATTAAGTCCTTTTCTTGCCCAGCCAACCCACTCCTGGTATCCACGTGCAATGCAAGCCAGACACCAAAGCACTGTAACGATTTGTCTCCACTGAATCTTACCAAAAATCTCATTGAAAATGGTGACCACTAATTGGATACCAATAGTTTTTAATTATTTGCCAAATAGATATAATCTCTCCCCAATATCTATGTAAGGAAGAAATCTTGAATCTTCTAGGAAACTTTATGTAGTCTAATAGCATGGCATATATAGGTTCACAGGTCTTTGAACTGGAAGAAAAAGTAGATTATTTAGTTCAGTTTTTTCATTTTGCAATTTAGGTAACAGTTCTGGGGAAGTAATTGCACAGCTAGTTACTTGCAGAGTCAGAATTAGAACCCAGATCTGAGGCTTAATAAGCTCCCTTTCCTACACTTGGATGATAGAATAATGGAGAAAGTCAAATGAAAATTGTTCTCTTTCATTATTGATACTATATTTTGTAGCGTTATCTTTATCACCATTCTTCTTTCATTTTTAAGTGGGATCCCATGATCACTACACTACCTGGTTTATACCTGGTATCTGTTGGAATTGTAAAACCTGCCAGTTGGATCATTGGATGGTCTCATCATGTAGTCTGCTCCATAGGAATGCTCAGATTTCTTAATCTGCTCTTCAGTGTTGGCAACTTCTATTTACTCTATTTACTTTTTTGCAAGTTACAACAGAGGAACAAGGTAGGTTCTCTGATTAATTCAGTAGAGTAAATACATAAATACACAAACACGTTTTGGTCAAGTAGTTCTCAATTACATAGAACATTTCTCTAGCAATTAGTATATATCATATTTCTTTTAAAAAATAAAGAAGTGTTCATTACATTCATATTGTTAAATTTATAGTCGTGTAGTTTAAGGACCTTTATTGGTTTTTAGAATTAAAAGTAAACACGCAATAATTGATTAATGAAAGCAACACTTACTTAGCTCTGTGTTTTCAAGAAAGTCCAAAAGAAGTTACAAAAAAAAAAAAGCCCTCTATCACTTAAGATTGCATGCAGTATTTTCAGCCAAATCTCCTGGCTAAGTTCCAATATATGCTATATGACAAGCTAGTGGCTAGAACTGATTGACGTGTTTGACACTACTTATGCCTAAACTTTGTAAGCTTTCCAAGTAGGAAAGGATAGAGAGATTTTGTTTTTTGTATGGGAGGTTAATGACTATGTAAAGATAACACTAGTACTATGCAGACTAACTGGGATAAAGCAACGTATTCAAATATATTAAGAAAATCATTATCAATAAGTATTTATTTAGCTTCTTACTGAACTGTACCAGGTAATGGGGATTTTTTAAAAAACGGATGAAAAACAGTCTTTACCTTCAGAGCTTATATTCAGTTGAGGGAGACAACATGAAAATATGCAAGTTATGTAAATTGTAAATTAAAGGTCATTTCAGAGAAAACTTCTCTCCACCTCAAGTTGAACCATAAGAAAAAAGAACTGTTTATAACAATTATACATGGTACAGCAAAATAAATTTCCATATTGGCCATACCCAAAAATGTATATCTCTTTCTGTATTTTAAGTCCATCACCTGCTGACAGGAAGTTGGTAGCATGCTTTACCTTTGGTCTGCTGGAATTCTGGTTTATTTTCTGTATAATGTTTATGTAATAGAAATTATTCTAGTTCTCTTCACTCTGAATAGATCTAGTCTTGATTTCTGTGGAGTGTTTGTTTAATTGGATTCATTGTTTCTCTATGTATCTTGGTAGGCAGACGCCAAAATGTTTTATATATTCTGTAGTAATTTTGAACGGACTGTTATATCTGTTGCTTTTGGGTACCATTGATAATAAATATGATGATTTATCTCATGCCATGCAACTTTGCTGAATTTATTTTTTTATTTAATTTTTTTAGTTGACTCCAGTATTTTCTCAATAAATCGACATACTTCCAAAAAAAGCAATAATTTTTTGTCTTCCTCACCTCAGCTTATTGCCTCAGTTTCTCTTTTTTCCTTATTACTGCAGCTAGGATTTCTAGCACTCTGTTAAATAGGTGTAATTATAATGGGTATTTTTGTTTTAGTACTGATCTTATTGGAAAGGCCTCTAACTATTCTCCATGTCATATACAGCTTTGGGTTTAGATACTGTTTTAAAGAAAAGTCTATTTATTCCTGTGCTTTCTAGTGACTTTAACAGAGATGGGTTTGGGAATTTGTCAAAAGTCTTTTCAACATCTATTGTGATTTTTATTATTTATGTGATTAATGTGATTTATTATGTTTAGAGTCAACCTCATATTTTATCAGTCCATTTTTTCTTAGGCATAAATTCAGCCTGGTTCTAGTATATAGTCTTCCTAATATGTTGTAGCCAATTTGTTAATATTTTATTTAATATTTTTGCTTCAGTATTTGTTAGAAATACTGGTCTGTAGTTTTATTTCTTTGTTTTGCTTCTTTCTGTTTTTTGAGGCATTTGGTGGCACAATGGATAAGTAGTGGGCGTGGAATTAGGAAGACTTGAGTTCTCATTTGACCTCAGAGGTTTACTAGCTGTGTGACTTAAAGTCACTTAAATCTCTTTTTGCCTCAGTTTTCTCAATTATAAAATGAAGATAATGATATTATCTACCTCCTAGGGTTGTAAGTATCAAATAAGATAATATTTGTGAAAAGTGCTTAATGTAGTACTTGGCACCAGTAGGCACTATATGAATGCACATTAACTTACTGACCATATATGAAAACTTTATCAGATAAACTTTCCACAAAGATTTTTTCCCCCACTTACCTGTTTCCTTTATAATGTTAATCTTTCTTTTCTTCTTTTAGGATCAGGTCCATATTTACATTATAGAAAATAATTGAAAAGGTCCTCTTTCCTGTTTTTTTGTAAACAGTTTATATGGTATTGTAATTAATTATTCTTTTGATGTTTGATATAATTAGCTTATAAACCTATCTGGTACTAGAAAGATTTTTACTTGTAAGTTAATTTTTAGATTATTCAATTTCTTTTCTAATGTATTAGGTTATTTAAATAATCTGTTTCTTTCATTGATCTGGTTTTTATATATAAATATTATACATATACATATATATTTTAAAGTAGTCATCCATTCCTTTAAGCTGTCAACTTTCTTAATATACTTGAGCAAAATGGTTTCTTATTATTTATTTTATTTTCTCTTCAGTTGTCTTGAAATATTTAAATTTTTTCCAGTTACATATAAAAACATTTTTAACATTCATATTTTTAAAAAATTTGAGTTTCAAATTCTCTTCCTACCTTTCACCCCATCCTTTTACGTTTTTCGATACAAGCAATTTAATTTTACTCTCCTCTTTAAAAAAAATTATTAGATGAGCTAGCTGCATGTTTTATTAGATTTATTTTTTAAAGCTAGTTTTATTTATTAATTTCATTGTATTTTTGCTTTCAATTTTGTTGATCTGTTCTTTTATTTTCAGAATTTTTACTTTGTTGCTTAGTTGGAGGGCTTCAACTTGTTACTTTTTTTTTTTTAGTTGCCTGCCCAATTAATTGCTTTAGATTTTCTAAATTCTCCTCTAAGGAGTGCATCAGTTTTGGTATGTTGTCTTATTGGTACTGTTTTCTTTGATGAAATTTTCTATTGTTTTTCTGTTGTGATCTTTGACCCACCAATTGTTTGGTATTAAATTATTCAATTTCTATTTACTTTTAATTCTTAAAATCACTTCATTGAGTATAATTTATTATACTCATGTTTAACATATTATAGCATGTAGTATTCTATATAGTATTTCTGCTTTTCTTTATTTTTTCATGAGGTCTTTAAACCCTAGTAAATACATGGTCAGGTTTTGCACACACGCCCTTCACAGGTGAGCAGTACATAAATTTCTTTCTGTTCCAATTCGTTAATCTCCAGGTGTCTGTCATTTCATATTTTTCCAAAGTTCTGTTCATGTCCTTAACTTTTTTGTTGTTTGTTTTTGGGTTAGATTTATCCAAGTGTGAAAGGGGTCCCCCTTTCTGTAAGTTTTACTGTTTATTGCCCCCTGCAATTTGATGAACATTTACTTTAAATATTTAGGTGCTGTACTATTTGATGTGTGTGTATTTATGTGTGTATGTATGTATATATCTATATAGATATAGCTATATATGTACACATACACGTGTGTATATATGTATATATATATACATGTAAATAATTAATTTTCATTCATTGTTTATAGTGCCTTTAAGCATATTTCCCTGCCTATCTCTTTTTCTTATCTCTATATTTACTATAGTCTTATTTGAAAACATGATTCCTGGTGAAATTGAAATCAAGATTTTTGCATTTGTCTGAAGCATATTAAATGTTTCCTTAGTCCCTCATTTTAACTCTATGTGAATCTTTGTGTTTCAACCATATTTTTTATAAACATATTGTTGAATTGTTTTCCTCTTCTTTCCATTTTATGTGAGCTCATCCCATTCATGTTCATGATTGTAATTGTGTATATCCCTTCATTCTTTCCTGTTTTAGTTTTTCTTCTTTGCTTCCATCCCCCTTTTTGCCATTAGGCAAAAGAGTTTGCCTATTTTTAAAAAATACTTTCTAGCATAAATGAAACAGTGTGTTTCCATTCTGTTTCTTCTCTTCTCTTTATCCTGCCCTCAATGCCAGGTTTTTATTCTTCTTTCTTTTCCATTTAAGCCTTTCTTCACATTTTCCTCTCCGCTGTTGATGTTCGTTTCACTTGTAACTGTTCTCATGTAACTATCCTTCACTCTGTCTTAAACTACCCTCTCTTCCCTCACCCTCTCACTGACTGCTCTTATTTCTGTTTTGAGTTTAATATATTTCTATGCTGCAATCCATGTATGTGTGAATGTATCTAATTGTGCTCCATTTTCCTTTGATTCATATGAAAGTGAGGTCCATGGGCATACTTATTCCCCCTACTCTTTCCTCTATGTCTAAATACTCTATGTTATCTTAGGCACTTTTGTGGTGTGATGATTATCCCCTTCTTTCTCTTTTCATTCCTAGTTCCTATGGCTCTCATTTCTGTCTTCTGATACCATCAAAAAGAACAAAACCGCTCCCAACCCTAAAGTTCTAAGGCGTCATTTATTATCTTCCTATTATCATGTAAACAGTTCATCTTCTTTTCTATGTTTCTTTTGGCTTATGCATTTCCATTTCAAGATATCCACTCAGTTTTGGCCTTTTCATGAAGGAAAAAAGTGCTCAAAAATCTTTTATTCACTAAAGGTCCATTGTTTCCATTAGTTTATACTAAGATTTTTTGTACTTAGTTTTGCCAGATAGGTTATCCTTGGTTGTAATTTGCTTTTTGGCACAGTATATTTCACTCTCTCTCTGTCTTTATGGTAGTAGTGACCAAGTCTTGTATGATCCTGACTGTGGATTCTTGGTACTTGAATTGAAGTTTTGTTTTGTTTTGTTTTGTTTTAACCTGGAAGCTTTGGATTTTGGGTATGACATTTCCTGGGAGTTTTCATTTGGAGTATTTTTCCAGCAGGTGATCATTTAATTATTTCTGTTTTCATTTTTACTTCTGATTCTAAGTGATCTAGGCAGTTTTGTTCTTGATTTCTTGGAATATGTTATCATGAATATTTTTTTTTACCTTTATATATAGCATGCCACAAAGTCATGTTCTAGTATTTCATGACTGTGTAGGAGTCTTTGTAATTCTGGGACAATTCTGCTTCTCATTGTGTCAATTTTGAGAGTTCCCCATTTCCTAAGTGGGAACAAGCCTTCCAGGCCTATTTAGAAGTATGAAATACTATAAGTTGTTTTTAGGTTCATACTGGTCTTATTGTTCTTCCAGCTTCAAGAAGCTCTATGGACAGTATGGACAGTAGTCGTATCTATCTGAAGATCTTTTGTTTCTAAGGATTGGTGTTCATTCGTGTCATTTGTGTCTAACTCTTCATGCCCTCATTTGGGGTTTTCTTGCCAAAGATAGTGGAATGATTTGCTATTTCTTTCTCTGGCTCATTTTACAGATGAGGAAACTGAGGCATCAGGGTTAAGTCACACAGCTAGGGAGTGTCTGAGGCCAGATTTGAACTTAGGTCTTCCTGACTTCAGGCCTGGCACTGCACCAGCTAGCTGCCTTTTAAGGATTAATTAGACTATTTCACAGCAATAATTTGTCATTTGCTGCTTTGTTTTTCATTTTTGACTGCACTTTATTCTTCAGTGTGATTGACCTTTTTTAATTGTGAGCTTGGAATATCCTTAAAATGCTTGACTCCCCCAAACCAGTAGCTGCTGCATTAACTTTAATAACCACTGAAATACATTACTTAACAGCTACAAATTTTATGTATTCTTGGAGTGATAACCATTTAAAAAAAACAAGCTAAAAGCACAAGAAAAGAGAACAATGAAATGTATATTTTGGCACAGAGTCTATCTATCATTCATCTGATAAAAGTATGGAAACCGACCAGCTTAATCCAATTTTATCTGTTACTCTAGTGTCAGAAGCACACACCCACGTCCTTTTCTGTCATAAAATGAAACCATACCCAAACTATTGGTTGTCCCAAGAAATTTGCCCATCATTGTAAATGCTTAAGCATCACCATTCTTAGAGCTCAAGGAATTTTTAAAATTCCCCTCAGTGACTATCATGATATACAAAGGTACATGATAGATATTTCATACATTGTTATTGAATGAGCATCCTCCTATATACTATAATCCAACTGTGAAAATCTCTAATATAATTTACTTTCATAAATTATTGTTACTTAGAATAGAATGGTAACATTTACTTCATTATAAAAAACTGTAATAGCCACAAGAACTCAAAAGAATTTTTAAGTAGTTGTGGTGATTTTAAATTCTTATCATACTAAGACAAAGTTCTCAAAACAACCTACTAAGAGAGACATGAATCAAACATTTTCAACTTATAAAACATTCATAATTTAAAATGCAAATGATTATAAAATTGGTTTGGTTTTTTTTTTGTTTGCATTGAGTTTTAAAATCAGACAGATTCTGAGGATGCAAGGACAAACATGAAACAGTCTATTTCTATAAAGGAGCTTATATTCAATTGAGTAAGACATATAAGTATATAAAAATATATGCGAGGTATTTTAGGGGTGGGAGTGGGAGTTAGCATTAATATCTTGTGGGATCAGGAAAAAACCCCATGTAGAAGGAGGCATTTTACCTGAGTTCAGGAAGGAGTGCATTCCATATAAGGAGACAAAAGTTTATTCAAAGGCATGGAAGAAAGGAGTGTTTGTATGAGGAACAGCAAGGAGACCAGTACACCTATATTCTAGAATTCATGTGGAAGGCTGGAGAGATAGGTTAGAAGGTAAGTTAAGAAGAGTTTTAAATCAGGCATATATTGTGGGGTTTTTTTATGTCTGAAGTTTAGTGTTCAAAAACATTAATTTTTTAAAAAGAGCCATATGAGGCCTTTTTATTATCCTGTACATATGTATTTATTGTTAATTCAGAAATAAACATTTATTAAGTACCTATTATGTATAAAACACTTTCAGTAACTATATTTTTTTTACCTTTCAGGCTGTCTCAGGTATCCAGAGAATTTTGTCAGCTTTAACAATGGCTGTTTTTCCTACACTCTATTTTTTTAACTTCCTCTATTATACAGAAACAGGATCCGTGTTTTTCATTCTTTTTGCATATTTGATGTGCCTTTATGGTAATCATAAAACTTCAGCCCTGCTTGGATTTTGTGGCTTCATGTTTCGCCAGACAAATATTGTTTGGGTTGTGTTCTGTGCAGGAAATGTTATTTCACAAAAGTTAACAGAGGCTTGGAAGATTGAGCTACAAAAAAAGGAAGAGAAACTTCCATCCATCAAAGGACCACTCTCAGCATGTAAGAAGATACTGTACTTTCTTTTTGATTATGCCACGTCCTTTAGGAACTTGAGTATGCTTATTATTTTAACATGGCCCTATATCCTTTTAATAATTATATTTATTGCTTTTGTAGTTTTAAATGGTGGAATAGTTGTTGGTGATAAGAGTAACCATGAAGCCTGTATGAATTTTCCTCAGCTATTCTACTTTTTTACTTTCACTTTCTTTTTTTCCTTCCCTCACCTGCTGTCCCCTGCAAAAATTAAAACTTTTCTTCACTTAGTGTGGAGACACTGGGCACAATTTGTTGTACTTACAACTGTCTCCTTGTTTTTAGTCTGGAAATTCACTTATGTTCATAAGTATTTGCTAGCAGACAACAGACATTATACATTCTATGTGTGGAAAAGAATATTCCAGAGACATGAATTTGTAAAATACTTATTAGTTCCATGCTATTTGTTTGCTGGTTGGAGTATTACTGATTCATTGAAATCTAAATCCGTTTTCTGGAACATAATGTTTTTCATATGCTTATTTACAGTCACAGTTCCTCAAAAACTTCTTGAGTTTCGTTACTTCATATTGCCTTACATCATCTATAGGCTTAACCTTCCTATGCCATCCCTGCCCAAGATCCTTTGTGAATTGAGTTTTTATATGATTATTAATTATATAACGTTTCATCTCTTCCTGAACAAGACATTTCAGTGGCCAAATAATGATAGTATTCAAAGGTTTATGTGGTGACCAAATGAATATCTTGCTTCATGTAAGCAAATTTATATTTGGAGCTTTTCCCCAGTGAAGACAAGACTTTGTTTAATAGTAAGCCAAGTGATGTTCATGTAGTTAGAAGCAATTATAAAATCTGATTTGCTCCACATGATGAAATATTGAATTAATCCAAGTGTTTAAAACCCTTTTATTTACATGAATGAATCAAGGATGTCCAAAAATTATGAAAAAGAATGGAAAATAAATATTTACATTTACTTTGATATATCTTAGGAAAAAGCTCTTTTCTCACCATTAAAAAGACTTAGAAACTTCTCATATATACACTTAAGAAGGATGATTATGCCTCAGTGGTCATAACAGTTATTTCATTTTATTTTACTTATTTATTTTTTGCAAGACAATGGGGTTAAGTGACTTGCCCACAGCCACACAGTTAGTGAGTGTTATGTGACTGAGGCCAGATTCAAACTCAGGTCTCCCTGACTCCAGGGCTCTGTCTACTGAGCCACCTAGCTGCCCCTAGTTATTTTATTTTTATATCTACTAAAATAGCAAAAGAAAAGAAACTTCAGATATTTGTGATTACATTGAGGATAGCTTCAGAGGCTTCAAATATTTCAACATATAGTCAGTGTTTATCTCATTAGAGATTTATATCAATTTAGGGAGGTTGGGAATTATATCATTTTAGGGATCAGGTTATTACTTAGAGTTTAATATATATGGATAATGCAGACCTTTCACATATTCTCATTTTGAAAATAAATGTCATGACTAAAGCTAAATTGCACTGATAATAATGCTTGTTAAAAAGGGGATGGGATCATTGAGATATATTACCAAAGAAGTCTTAGAATAAAAAAAGTCTTAGAACCAATCTTTTTATAAGATTTTAAAAAGTACAACAGTTTGCTTTCTTGAATCATTTAATTGCAGCTCCCCTAGATGAAGAAAGATGTAGACAAGATGACTTTTTGAGGTCCTTTTGATTTGGTAATTATATATTACAGTGGTAACTTATAAAGCCCAGTTTTAACTAATTTAGTTTCTTGTGACTTTTTTGTTTTTGTTTTGTTTTGTTTTTTGCTAGGCAGTGAGGTTAAGTGACTTGCCCAGGGTCGCACAGCTAGTAAATATTATGTATCTGAGGCGGGATTTGAACTCAGGTCCTCCTAACTCCAGGGCCGGTGTTCTATCCACTGTGCCACCTAGCTACCCCTCTTGTGGGTTTTTTGATGCAGTGTATAAATCCTTTTGCATTATTCTTTTAAACCATTTTCACATTTTTCGAAAATGATTTGTGGGTTTTGTTTCATGGAGAAATGGCTGTATTTTTATATAATTTATATTATTTTCCTATGAGAGATTCTTTTCGCTTCCCCTTTTAGTTAACAACTGAGTTTGGAAGGTATTCTGCATTTGTTACTGCAAATTTATCATTATTATTTTTAAATAAACAAACTTGGTTTTTCATTAATTTGAAAAATGTAATTATTTTCATAGGATTTGTGTCATATTGTCAGTCCAAATATAAATAGAACATATTTCAAGGTTTTCTGTTGTGTGGAGGAAAACCAATCTCATTAAAAGAGATCTTAAAAGATTATTTTTTCATCACAGATTTACCATATTACAATAACTACTGAAAAGTTGAATCTTAAAAATACAGAATTTGTGATGAAATTTTTTGTTATCCTCTTATGAATAGAAATTAGATTTGGGAGCTATCATTCTGATCTGGCTTCAAAAAGTCATAGAAGAAATTCTTCTTCCTCTTTTACTTAAGTGTGTTTGGAACATATTCTGCATTTCTTACTGCAAGCTTATACGTGAATTATTCTTTTATACTATTTTAGTTGAAAAAACTAGAATGAATAATTTTTTATTCCAGGAAAAATTAAAAGAGTTCTACATTCTGGGGAGGTAATACATAGGGTTTACTCTAAGGCATTAAAATGGCATAAGGTATTTATAGCCACGTGGATTGGGCCAAGGGGAGGATGAGACAATGGAGGTGAAAGAAACTATTTCACATAGACAACTGTCTATGGTGGGACTAATAAAACCTCCTTTCCCCAGGTAAGTTGGGTTAATTTCTCCTTTAAAGGTATTGAGACCATCCTCTGGATTTGATTAGCTCAGAGAAATAAATGCCTTATAAGGCTAATGTTGCTTCTTGGTCACTTGAGTAAAAACACTCATAAGGGCTTTGTCTTGGCTTTAAGGTTTGCTTGTAGGCTATTGTGAATAACTCAGGCAGGTGAGCTTACCTCTGCTGAAGAATAATAATAGCAAACATTTGTATAGTGCTTACTAGGTGCCAGACACTGCTAACTGATTTGCAATTATTAACAATTATTATCCCGTTTGGTCCTCACAATAACCCTGGGAGGTAGGTGCTATTATCCCAATTTTACAGATGAGAAAACTGAGGCAGAGGGGTTAAGTGACTTTCCCAGCATCATATAGCTACTAAATATCAGACCAGATTTGAACTCAGATCTTCCTGACTCCAGGCCCAGCATACTTATCAGCTCTATTCAGCTCTGCTGAATCAATTAAATTTTTGGCCTAGATTTATATATCCTCCTGTAGTTGAGTGTAACTCTTTTTTTTTAACTGTTGAATGGCCTACAAGTGTTGCATTTCCTTCCAATATCGAACCTAAAATAATGGGACTGACCTGAGTCAGACCTATTTCAGAGCACCCGCTTTAGCTATGTTTAGGATATCACAAAGGATATGACCTAGGATACACTTTTGACCTGACCATCGAGATGTGGTTGGGCACTCTAGAGACACCCAAGCAAGTCAAGTAAGATAACAACTCAGTGCCTTTTGGAAAATGACCACAGTCTTAAATTATTAAGCTGCTTTTGATTTTTTTCTTTACCTTAATTAAGGAAAGGGAATGGTTTGCTGAAGTCTTGCTGAGAAGCTGAAGAGAACAGATTAGGACTCTTGGTTCATGGTTATCCTTAGGCAAGGGAAGAACTGAAAAAACTGTTCTTGGTACTGGTTGAAGGATTCTAAGATCACCACTGTTCTATCCTTCTCTTCGTATAACACTTAAAAGATTAACTTTCTTGTAAGATCTGCTTGTGTACCTTTGCCTTCAATTATCTTTTGAACTGTATTTTTTCTAGATGTTTTTGAAGCCAAGAAATACATAGTGTTCCTGCAGAAGTGAGACTAGTTAGCCCATATAACAAAGAAATGGACTTTGGTGGCCATTAATCAGGTAATGGGTGATGTCCTGAGAAATGTGGGGTCTAGCAATTCCTTCTCAAGGGCTGGGGCTAAGAGTCACATGACTGGCGTATAAGAGAAACTTGAGGGACAGAGTGAATAAGATCGTAACACTGATTCCTGGGTAGGAGAGGCACTTTGCCCTTGTGGGGGCATAATAATGGTGATGAGTAGGGGTAAACCTCTTGCCTTGAGATTGGGGAACTAATTTGCAAGCTGAAGGCAGGACTATCAAGAGAAGATAAGTATTTTGAGTGGCATGAGGAACCCAATTGGGCAGAGTAGCTACCTTGTCCTTAGAGGATCATTTCATCCCCATGACCATCTTATCACAGCATCATGGTCCCCTTGTCCAGATTGGAAATGGATTTACTAACCTCTGCCATTTTTTTAACATCATCAACCTGATTGTTTATTTTTACTTTTATTTTTTTAAATTTTATTAATTTATTTTGATTTATCAACACTCACTTCCATATGCTTTTGAGTTGAAAGTTTTTCTCCCCCTTCCTTCCCCCTACCCTCCCCAAGATGGCGCACAGTCTGATATAGGCTTTACATTTACATTCCTATTAAACATATTTTCACATTAGTGAAGTTGTAAGTAAAAATTAAAACCAATAGGAGGAACCATCAGAAAGATGAAACAAAACTCAACAGAAGGTAAAAATAAGTGATAACGATTCGACTTCCATAGTTCTTTCTTTGGAAGTGGACACCATTTTCCATCCTGAGGCGTCTGGAGATGTCCTAGATCCTTGTAATGCTGAGAAGGGTTCAGTCTAACAATATTAGTTATCGTATAATGTGGCTGTTATTGTGTACAAAGTTCTCTTGGTTCTGCTCACTTCACTCAGCATCAGACCATACAAGTCTTTCCAGGTTTTCTGAAGTCAGCCTGTTCATCATTTCTTATAGCACAATAGTATTCAATTACATTCATATACCACAACTTGCTCAGCCGTTCCTCAGTTCATGGGCATCCTCTCAATTTCCAATTCTTTGCCACCACAAAAAGAGCTGCTGTGAATATTTTTGTACATGTGAGTCCTTTTCCCATTTGTTTGATCTCTTTCGGATATAGCCCTAGAAGTGCTATTGCTGAATCAAAGGGTATGCACATTTTTGTAGCCCTTTGGGCATAGTTCCAAATTGTTCTCCAAAATGGTTGGATCATTTCACAACTCCACCAACAATGTATTAGTGTTCCAATTTTCCCACATCTTCTCTAACATTTATCATTTTCCTGTTTTGTCATGTTGGCCAATCTGATAGGTGTGATGTGGTACCTCAGAGTTGTTTTGATTTGCATTTCTCTAATCAATAACAATTTAGAGCATTTTTTCATATGACTATAGATGGCTTTAATTTCTTCATCTGAGAACTGTCTGTTCATATCCTTTGACCATTTATCAATTGGGGAATGGCTTGTGTTCTTATAAATTTGTCTTAATTCTCTATATATTTTAGAAATGAGGCCTTTATCAGAGAGACTGGTTGTAAAAATTCTTTCCCAATTTTCTACCTTCCTTCTAATCTTAGTTGCATTGGCTTTGTTTGTGCAAAAACTTTTCAATTTAATGTAATCAAAATTATCCATTTTGCTTTTCATAATGTTCTCTATCTCCTGTTTGGTCATGAATTCTTCTGTTCTCCATAGATCTGATAGGTAAACTATTCCTTGTTCTCCCAGTTTACTTATGGTATCAGCCTTTATATCTAAGTCATGAACCCATTTTGACTTTATTTTGGTATATGGTGTGAGATTTGGGTCTATGCCTAGTTTATGCCATACTCTTTTCCAGTTTTCCCAGCATTTTTTTCAAAGAGTGGTTCTTATCCCAGAAGCTGGGGTCTTTGGGTTTATCAAATAATAGATTACTATAGTCATTGACTACTGTGTCTTGCATATTTAACCTATTCCACTGATCCACCTCCCTATTTCTTAGCCAGTACCAAGCAGTTTTGATGATTGCTGCTTTATAATACAATTTAAGATCTGGAATTGCTAGGCCACCTTCCCCTGCATTTCTTTTCATTAGTTCCTTTGATATTCTGGACCTTTTGTTTTTCCAAATGAATCTTGTTATTATTTTTTCTAACTCTATAAAATAATTTTTGGTAGTTTGATTGGTATGGCACTGAATAAGTAAATTAGCTTAGGTAGGATTGTCATTTTTATTATATTAGCTGGCCTACCCATGAGCAACTGTTTTTCCAATTATTTAGATCTGATTTTATTTGTGTGAAAAGTGTTTTGTAATTGTGTTCATAGAGTTCCTGGGTTTTTTGGGAGGTAGACTCCTAAATATTTTATAATGTCTACAGTAAGTTTAAATGGGATTTCTCTTTCTATCTCTTGCTGTTGGGCTTTGTTGGTAATATATAGAAATGCTGATGATTTATGTGGGTTTATTTTATAGCCTGCAACTTTGCTAAAGTTGTTTATTATTTCAAGTAGTTTTTTACTTGATTCTCTAGGATTCTCTAAGTATATCATCATGTCATCTGCAAAGAGTGATAGCTTTGTTTCTTCTTTGCCTATTCTAATGCCTTCAATTTCTTTTTCTTCTCTTATTGCTAAAGCTAAGGTTTCCAGTACAATATTGAATAACAGTGGTGATAATGGACATCCTTGTTTCACCCCCGATCTTATTGGAAATGCTTCTAGCCTGTCCCCATTACATATAATGCTTGCTGAAGGTTTTAGATAGATGCTATTTATTATTTTAAGGAAGACTCCATTTATACCTATGCTTTCTAGTGTTTTTAATAGGAATGGGTGTTGTATTTTATCAAAAGCTTTTTCTGCATCTATTGAGATGATCATGTGGTTTCTGTTGTTTTGGTGTTGATATGCTCAATGCTGATAGTTTTCCTAATATTGAACCAACCCTGCATTCCTGGTATAAATCCTACCTGGTCATAGTGTATTATTCTTGTGATAAGTTGCTTGCAACAAGTATTTGCTAGTATTTTGTTTAAAATTTTTGCATCTATATTCATTAGAGAAATTGGTCTATAATTTTCTTTCTCTATTTTGACTCTTCCTGGTTTAGGTATCAACACCATATTTGTATCATAAAAAGAATTTGGTAAGACTCCTTCTTCACCTATTTTCCCAAATAGTCTATATAGTATTGGAATTAATTGTTCTTTAAATGTTTGATAGAAGTCGCATGTAAATCCATCTGGCCCTGGAGATTTTTTCCTAGGGAGTTCATCAATGGCTTGTTTAATTTCTTTTTCTGAGATGGGGTTATTTAAGTATTTTACTTCCTCTTCGTTAATCTGGGCAATTTATATTTTTGTAAATATGTATCCATTTCACTAAGATTTCCAAATTAGTTGGCATAGTTGGGCAAAATAATTCCTAATTATTGTTTTAACTTCCTCTTCCTTGGTGGTAGCTTCACCCTTTTCATTCTTGATACTAGTAATTTGGTTTTCTTCTTTCTTTTTTAATTAAATTAACCAAAGGTTTATCTATTTTATTGGTTTTTTCATAAAACCAGCTCTTAGTTTTATTTATTAGTTCAATAGTTTTCTTAATTTCAATTTTATTAATTTTTCCTTTGGTTTTCAATATTTCTAATTTGTGTTTAGTTGAGGATTTTTAATTTGTTCTTTTTCTAGTTTTTTTAGTTGTATGCCCAATTCATTAATCTCCTCTTTTTCTATTTTATTTATGTAAGCATTTAGAGATATAAAACTTCCCCTAAGAACTGCTTTGCTGCATCCCAAGTTTTGGTATGTTGTCTCATTATTGTCATTCTCTTGAATGAAATTATTGATTGTTTCTATGATTTGTTGTTTGACCCAATCATTTTTTAGGATTAGATTATTTAATTTTCCAATTTTTTTTAGTCTATCTTTCCATGGCCCTTTATTACATATAATTTTTATTGCGTCATGATCTGAAAAGGATGCATTTAATATTTCTGCCTTTCTGCATTGGATTGTGAGGTTTTATGCCCTAGTACATGGTCAATTTTTGTGTATGTGCCATGTACTGCGAGAAAAAAGTATATTCCTTTCTATCCCCATTTATTTTTCTGCAGAGGTCTATCATACCTAACTTTTCTAATGTTCTATTCACCTCCTTAACTTCTTTTTTGTTTATTTTGTGGTTAGATTTATCTAGTGCAGAGAGGGGGAGGTTCAGGTCCCCCACTAGTATAGTTTTGCTGTCTATTTCTTCCTGTAACTCCCTGAACTTCTCCTCTAAGAATTTGGATGCTATACCATTTGGTGCATATATGTTTAGTAATGATATTACTTCATTGTCTATGGTGCCTTTTAGCAGGATGTAGTTTCCTTCCTTATCTCTTTGATTAGATCTTTTGCTTTTGCTTTGTCTGAGATCAGGATTGCTACCCCTGCTTTTTTACTTCAGCTGAAGCATAATATATTCTGCTCCAGCCTTTTACCTTTACCCTGTATGTGTCACTCTTTTTCAAATGTGTTTCCTGTAAACAACATATTGTAGGATTATGGTTTTTAATCCATTCTGCAATCCATTTCCGTTTTATGGAGAGTTCATCCCATTCACATTCACAGTTATGATTACTATCTGTGTCTTTTTCTCCATCCTTTCCCCCATTTATGCTTTTCTTTCTCCTTTTTCCTTTCCCCTTCACTAGTGTTTTGCTTTTGACCACCGCCTCCTTCAGTCCCTCCCCTTTATTATCCCTTTCCCTTTTCTTCCCCTTTACTCTTACTGCTTCTTCCCTCCCTTTTCTTTCCCCCCTCTCTTTTCTTTCCACTTTTCCCTCCTACTGCCTATAGAGCAAGTTAGATTTCTTTTTTTTAATATAAATTTATTTATTTTTAGCTTTCAACATTCACTCCCACAAGTTTTTGAATTCCAAATTTATGCCCCATCTCCCCCCTCCTTCCACCCCATGATGGCATGCATTCTGAATATCCCTTCCCCTAGTGTGTCCTCTCTTCTGTCTCTCTCCCCCTTCTCTTATCCCCTTCCCCTTCTCT